TTGCGCCCGCACCGCGCTCAGCCAGTGAGCGGGAACTGGTCTCCACATGGGATCCGAACACTCGGCGGGAGCGCCGCCACGCTCCCAAGCGGCGCACTCTCCAGTGCGCCACTGGGCCGGCCCCCAAAGCTCCAATATTAACCAGAAAATTTCTAATACCACCAGAGAGTACCTATAAAATCTAGAAGAGGTAGTAGTCTCCTCAAATGCCCAGGCATCAATGTAAAGACACAATGTAAAGATCAAGAAAGAAAAGAGAGATATGCACCATCAAAGGAAACAAATCAAGCACCAGCAATGGACCCACAAGAACAGCAGATTTATGAAATGTCTGACAAAGAATTCAGAATAACCCTCTTAATGATGTTCAGGGAGTCACAAGAAAATACAGATAGAAAGTTAAAAATATGTGGAAAACAATCCACGATCAGAATGAGAAACTTGACAAAGGAATTAAATCCATTAAAAAATATAGAAATTCTAGAAATAAAGAATACTTTATCCGAAACTGAAAAACTCCATAGAAAGCTCCAACAACAGACTGGGAGGAAAATATCAGTGAGGGCAAAGATAGAACATATAAAATTATCAAATCAGAGGAGCAAAAAGAAAAAAGAATAAGAAAAATGAGACAGAAATACAACAAATATGGGACTCCCTCAAGCAAAATAACCTCCACATAATTGGCATACCCAAAGGAGAGGAAAAAGGAAGAGATATAGGAAGCATATTCAAGAAAATAACAGCTGAAAATTTCCCAAGCATGGAGAAAGATGACACCATCCAGGTACAGGAAGCTCAGAGGTCACCGATCAAATTTTATCCAAGGAAGAACACCCCAAGGCATAACATAATCAAATTATCAAAAACCAAAGACAAAGAAAGGATACTAAAAGCAGCAAGAAAAAGAAACACGTAACATTCAACAGAGCCCCAATATGTCTCTCAGCAGATTTCTCAGCAGAAACCCTCCAGTCCAGAAGAGAATGGGATGACATATTCAAGGTGCTGAAAGAAAAGGACTGTCAGCCAAGAATTCTGTATCCAGCACAATTAACCTTCAGGTATGAAGAAGAAATAAAGTCTTTCCCAGACAAACAAAAGCTAAGGGAGCTATATCAACACTATACCTGCATTACAAGAAATGCTAAAGGGAGTTCTTCAGTCTAAAAGAAGATGATGCTACAGAGCATAAAGAAAACACCTGAAAGTACATAATTCATTAGTAAAGTAAGTTTACAGAAAACCTCAGAATACTCCAATGTCATAAGAGTGTTGGATAAACAACTTACAACTTTAGTATGAAGACTAAAGGATAAACCTAACAAGACACTAACATATGAAAACCATGTAAGAGACAGGCAATATTAAAAGATGTTACTTGAAACAAGAAATTGTCAAAAGGGGAAGAGGGGGAATGACAAAATATCAAAGCATAAAGTTGGCTTTGGTTTTTTCTTTTTCTTTTTTTTAAGATATCAAAGTTAAGTTGTTAATAGTCTAAAATAATCTTTTATAACTACAACACTTTTTTTTTGTAAGCTTCAGGGTAACCATAATGCAAAAACTAAGAGAAATACTAAAAATAAGTGGCAAGAAATCAAAATACACTGCTACAGAAAACCACTCAATCACAAAGGAAGACAGTAGGCTTGGAAAAAAAGGAAAGAAGGATCAACAAAACAACCAGATAAAAATGGAACAACTGGATAAAAAAAGGAACGAAATGTCAGTAACAAGTCCCTATATATCAATAACAACTCTAACTGTAAATGGATTAAAATGCCCCAATTAAAAGACATAGTGTCTCAACGGGTAATAAAATAAGAACCAGCAATATGCTGCCTACAAGAAACTCACTTCACCTCTAAAGACACATGCTGTCTGAAAGTGAAGGGATGGGAAAAGATATTTCATGCAAACGGAAACCAAAAAAGAGCAGGAGTAGCTACACTTATATCAGATAAAACAGACTTTGAGCCAAGGAAAGTAAAAAAAAAAAAAAAAGTCATGATATAGAGATAAAGGGTCAATTCAACAAGAGGATATGACAATTCTGAATGTATGCACACCCAACTCCAGAGCACCCACTTATATAAAGCAATTACTGTTAGACCTAATGGGAGAAATAGACTTCAACATAGTAATACTTGGGGACTTTTAACCTGAGGACAGAAAGTGTCCACTTTCACCAGAGGACAGATCATCCAGGTAGAAAATTAACCAGGAAACATCAGAATTAATCTCTACTCGAGGCCAATTAGATCTAATGGACATATATAGAACATTTCATCCCACAGCTGCAAAATACACATTCTTCTCAGGAGCACATGGAACATTCTCTAGAATAGACCATATGTTAAGTCACAAAGCAAGTCTCAACAAATTTTAAAAAACTGAAATATCAACTACTTTATGTGACTAAAATGGGATAAAACTAGAAATCAACAACAAAAGTGACACTAGAAACTGTACAAGAACATGGAAATTAAACAATATTCTTCTAAACAACGAATGGGTCAAAGAAGGAACCAAAGAGGAAATT